CAGACCATCAAGGCCAGAAAAAAGGTATATCAACAGTGTTTGTTTTGCAAAATGAACAAACACAGTAGAAACAAACCAACAAACAATGCTTTGCTGTCAAAATAGGAGGTCCATTTGGAGACAATATTCCCGTTAAAGAAAACAAAGTAAGCCTTAATTTCTAAACCTGATATAAATCTTTAATTGGAAATATCCTGTTGATTGTACTCTTAATAGAAAAGAAGAGGATCACATGGCATGGCAACATGAGAGGAAGCCCAGGTGCTGTTGGATTTAGATTGTACAATTTTTTACTCTTAAAGTTGTTTCTCCTTCTTTTTCTTAAGTAAAACTGCAGAAATGTCCTAAAGACCTATATGGCCTCTAACCACCTGCATTGAAATTCAGATAAAACCGAGGCTATTGAACACGGCCCTAAAAATCATAGAAATATTATATCTAATCAGATGCTTAATCTGGATGGCATTACGTTGACGTTCAGTAACACTGTGAGGAACCTTGGAGTTGTTTTTGAAGCAGATATTTCCTTCAATGTAGAAATTTTAAAAAATTTGTAGGACAGCTTTATTGTATTTATCTAATATCTCTTAAATTAGAAACACTCTGTCTCAGTTAATGAAAAACTAGTTCATGCATATTTTACTGTTAGTCTTAAAAGTTTCCATTTTAATAAAGCATATTGTTAGGGTGGGATTAGGTGACCCTGAATCATTCCCTAATTAAGCTGCAATAGGCCAATAGGACTTCTTTTTCGTTGACCTTTTTTTACTCACTTTATGTTTATATGCCACACTATATTTAATTATTAGTGTTGGAGCTATTTGTTCTTATTTTTTATTATTTTGAAATTAGTTAAAGTTTGTTGTTAGTTTACTTATATTTTGGGATTTATTTACAAGTTTATTTGTCATATTTTGTTTCAATGTTTGTTTGATGTTACTTTGTTAAATTAGTCAGTAACAGCTCTAGGGCCATTTTGTTTCTATAAAGAAAGAAACTGGTATAGGACCAGCATGCACTGGGGTGGGCCTATGGGTTTTTTGTTTTTTTTTACCAGAGCAGGAGAAGCAGCAAGAAGTAACAAAAAAATGGATCTTGTTATTGCTTGCCAAACTGGATAAATAAACCATAAAAATGCAACTTTCAAGTTTGGACAGTGGACTTCTTTTGCCTGCGTACAAAATATTATCTCAGTGCAGCAGTGGCTTGTGGACTTTTAATTGTGGGATGTTTCGTTTGTCAAACAAAAGGAATTGCCACTACATAAAGTTTAAAAAAAACCCGTGGACAAAGGAATAATCCTTCATTAATGGATATGTTGGATATATGGATTTCAAGGATCACCATCGAACTCGAGTAAAAGTTACTGGATCGTCTGTGAGTACTCCCAACAGATTTGATGTTGAGGCCTGGATCAACATGTCACTCGTTCATCAAAACTGGTGAGTGATAATATTGTTTAAGCCGTAAAGGAAAACGGTGAAGCTATTGGAGTATAAAGACATTATTTCACTACAAAGACTGATGAACTGAGTTTTGATGTACTAAATTGGTGCATAATTGGATCGCTAATTGAAACATGCCAACGCCCTCTGTGGAAATGTTTGTTCGCTGCAATCAGCAGGTAAATGGATGTCATGTTTGTGCTCTATGCTATGGATTCTCAGTGTGCTGTGCATCTTTATAATGTTTGAAATAATCCAAGAGGACAATAAAAATGTCGGATATTAAGAGTAAACAAGAGGATGACACTCAGATGCAAGCAGAGAAAAGAAGCATCAAATTTGCACCAAAAGGTTTGGATTGGTATATAAAGACATGCCAAGAAAGCGGAGTTCAATGTGTAAGAAAGCATCAAAGTATATGGGGAAAATTTCCGCTTTAATGACCTCACATGAGAACGTTAAGGACATGTCTTCTGAATTTGGGAAGTTTATTAAATGCTATCAAGATGCAAACGCTTTGCAAGAATCCTTTTTAAGTTTGCCACTGCCATACGATGAAGTGAAAAGGCAAACCGCACATTATCAGTCTAAGGTGACAGCATTCTCTGTTTTTATGGACAAAGTAAAGATTTGGTTGCCGGAAACAGGCGAGACGTATACTGAACAAAGCAATACTGTTCTTAATGATCAAGCTGTTGAAAGTTTGGATGAAATAAATCCTGAAGACAGTGTCTCTAATATCTCAAGTGTAAAGCCACCTTCGAAAACATTGTCACAGCAAAGTCGAATTTCATCAACATCTTCCGCACGCATTAAAGCTGCGGCTGACAAGGCAGC